GAAAATAATATTATAGTTAAAAAAACTAAAAACACGCTTTTATTACAAAAAGAACTAAAAAGTATAAAATAATTTGTAGATATAGCGATTCCGTTTAAGAAGAATAGGAAGTTCCCTAACCTGATTTAATTTAACTGTTTTAAGTTAGCTAAAAATATGATTAAAGTGATTGATCCGTAGTTATAGTCAAAATAAAGTGCACTGTAAAGTTTGTTGCAGTTTTTTTGACAGATACCCCATTGAAAGTTATGCCAAAAAGCTGCAACTAACTTTACAGTGCACTTTATTTTGACTAGCAGTGCGCGCTACCATTCCGAAGGGCCTGGGTTCAAGCTCGGTTCAACCCAACGGTCGCTGCCACATTCAAAATAAACAGCTTAAATACAGATAATCTGCCTCATTGCAAGAGTCGTGTCGAATGCAAGTCGTTTTTCGAGAGTCGAATCGTATCGAAAATTTCATGGCAATGACATAAAATATCGGCTCTAGTTTATTAAAACGGGAAAACTTGGCAGCACTGCATAGTTTTCGACGATTTTCATCGTTTACTTATTTCAGCACGACAGTAGACTATGCCAATGCTGTCGAGTCGTACAATTTAGCCTAATTTACGACTTAAGCAATGAGACTTAGGGCCAATTTCACAATGCGTAGTTAACTCAGAATCGGCAGTTAACTACAGATTTTTGTACTGAAAATCTCTAGTTAGTGAAATTGGCCCTTAATGTTTAAAAAAAAATTCGTACAAATCCGTTCGTTTTCAAGATTAGCGGCTCAAAAAAATCTCGACTTTGCTTTATACTACGTTCAGATAAAGAAAACAATCCAAAGAATTTGAAAATGGCAAATCTCATTGAAATTAGATGAAATTTATTACATAAACATTGAATAGTAGAGCTGTAAAAGTAAATAAAATTTGCATACCCGTATGTATTCGTTACTATTGCAATTAACACCCGTATATTTCGTATCGTTACTTTGCTCGTTACTTTTGATACAAGCACTTGTACCTGCCGCGTAAGGAAATGTTTGTTCGTACATATGTATACATTAGATTGCAGCACCAAAAAACGTTGCGGTTTTTCCCGCGGAACGACCAAACCTAGTATATTTTAAGACTTTGTTGCCAGCTGGTTTGGAGTGGGTTTCCGTAGATCACCCGCGACGCTTAGTATACCGCGCCAACAATAAAAACAAAAAAACGTACCCGCATGGCCACAAGCCAGTTGACAAATATCACCACCGTAAATGAAGCCGCGTCTAATCCTGATTACCCTCTTCTGTCCTCATCCCGTCAAGTCACCCCTATGTATCCGTCCTGTCCTGCCCAGTTCCGCGGTTTGCCTCCGTGAATTCGAGGCCGGCCTATCCGCCCCTTCCGTCCTTTTCTGATCCTGGCCTTGGCGGATCAGCCCCTAAATCCGTATCGCATGAGTTCTTCACTTGAGTTGACTGGGTTGGCATGACTCGATAACCCCATCATTCAGCAAATTCATCTGCCGATCTGTCTGGTCGGTTCGTTCGTCCGTCTACCCGTATATCCATCCGATATGTCCCTCATCCTAGGCCTCGCTCACCACACACACATCATTCTTCTTTAACACTTCATTTTGCCTATATATTATTATTTATTATTATTATTGATTATTCGTAATTTCTAACTAAGCTAGTTATATAACTATGATGTCGATCTAGTAATCTTCTCGTTGTGTTGAATGGTCACTTCCGACCTAAGTAACCGGCCTAGTGTTGACGTGAATTTTTAATTTAGCACGTTTTGCACAAGCAATAGTTGATGATTAATATAAGTATATACCTAAATACGTTAAAATGACATGCACAGAGTTTTACAATTATATTAAGCAAAAGCCAGAAGTTTTGAAACAAGTTCACAGCAACGAAACAAATGACTGATATTTTAACCCTGATATATTTACCCTGTATTTAATTTTTTTTCTTTCGTGAAACCTAGATTACTTATAAGTGCCGTGCCGTACAAAATTATTGGCTCGGAGACTCTTTCATCTGATCACAATTTCTATTCAGATCTTTTAGAAAAATTTTGAAAATGTAGCTTTTGAGCCAATTAGTAAAGTTCAAGTCTGAAGTTACCAGAAAATTTCGTTGGTTTTTTGCAATTATTTATTTTTTGCTGACAGTGTCCTCCGCATACAAAAA